AAAGGTTATTACATCAAATGCATTAGGCTAAAAGGTTATTACACTTATAGTAGGCGTTAATTGTTAATGATACTTTACGAGATGGTGTGAAGATAAGATGATCAGATAATGCTAAGTGATGTGTGAGAAGATAGACTATTCAGATAAAAGAGGATTAATTAACACGTGAAGAAGAGAGTGCTGTAAGCACATTCCCCCCTTTAAGGTGAGCGTGGGGGACTTCTTTGTTCCAGTCTTGGCCGTTTGGTGTCAGGTGAGGGGGATCTGGTTCCTCCGGATGACGGGCTGGTGGATGATAGGGGAGAACGAGATTTCTCCCATGCGCGCCGTTGAGCGATGAATTGCTCCTGGCCTTGTACTAACTTAGTTAGTAGACGCTCGATGTTCTTGAGCGATTTGAGCATTGCAGCTGAGTCTGTGTTAGACGCTGCTTGTGAGCTCTTGGTTTCCTCTTTAGGAGGAAGCTCCCGCCGGCTAATGGGACCGGTAATGTCGTGGAACGCGATAGCGACATTGAGGTGTGGGAGGTGCGTCTTCTTGGCGTCTTCTACCAAAGAGTGGAGTTCTTTGGCAGAACCAAACACGTCGAACAGTTTAAGGTCCGATTGGAAGACGGTTGGAGATCTGGCGGATCTGAGGAAGATCCGGATCTTCAGATATTCTCGCATGAGGTGAACTGTTGCCAGCTCAACTGTTTCGCGACGGTTTTCTGTTGACCGTTTGGCGGACTCCAGTGCCATGATGGCTTTCAGCGTGGAGGTGATGGCTACGGAGCCATATTCGGCCCGGTCGTTACGGGGCATTATTTTAATGCGTGCGACTTCGGAGTCGGCATTGGAGATAGCTGTTTGGAGAGCGTGAACGGTGGAGTTCATGGTAAGTGTGACTAGAATGGTGAGGATGTATACATGTGTTTTCCGTTTGTTGTGGAAAGTGAGATGTACGACATAACGAATGAGACGAAAAGGTGAACAAATTATGAAACGGCAGAAGTATAAGAAAGCTATGATCGTTGTGAAGCTGTATCGTGCTATGAGAAAGTATACGCCTACAACGCCGGCAAATGTTATGATTGCGCATGCTGCTATCTCCTTGATCCAATCAGTGTATATATCCAGGAAGTGTGTAATGTCGGGCCAGGGGAAGGCGATCGTTGTTTCGTGGAAATTACTATGATTGGTTTCTGTGTAGTGTTGTTGAAGTGTGTAAATGTTGTTGACATAGTACAAGACTCCAGTGATGTTGAAATTTTTAGTACTCTTTCCGCAGGAGAAGGAGCAGTTGAGGTTAGGTGTGGCTGTGGAAGCGCTTAATCGTATGGAATTGGATATGCCTGTGGGATCGCAATGAACCATAAAGGCGGTGTCCCCGCATTGTGTTGCAGCCAATGTGGTCTGTGAGGAGGTACAGACGATGTTGGTTTGAGCACCTTGCTGACAGTTGTAACAACCTGTGATGGTAGTGTCAGGTATCTCGCAGGAGGTGTTTGTGAATGTGGAACTGGTGTTGAAAGTTCCTTTGATCGTGAGTAGGATTTCAGCTAAAGTGTTCCGTCTGATTTTCATGATGATATCGTTATGAGATGATTGAAGAGAATAAGTGGGAGATATGAGAGGTAATGTACGATGTATGTCACTGAAGACGTTTGTGGTACTATCATCTCTACAGTCGCACTTAATGGCATCTTCTGCAGGGAGGCAAGAGCAATCGGGCGTGGCTGTACAGTTTTGAAGTGTTGCTGCTGCGGTCATGTTAGGACACTGTAACTGGGTATGTGTCGGAAGGATTGCTGTAGATGGTGCAGAACGAATAAAGCGCTGTTGCATGAGTGGGATGACTGGAGTTGTGAGTCCAGTTATTTGTAAAGAGAAAATGTCGTGAGTGACTATGGTATCGTCTCGCAGTGTTAGGTTGTAACTGGTGATGTTTGAACCAGTAGTTACTGTGAGTTGAATGCGAGTGGAGGGAGTCCAGGAGTCGCATTCTACGACTTCATAAAGAGTGTCTGAATTAGGTTTCAAGTAGGTGCGGTAGTATAAGCAACCGGAAGAAGGATAAAAGCATCCACATCCAGGTCCTCCGCATGATTCGACACAATGAGTTGTTCCAGGGAAGGTGTTCGCTGGTTGAAGTTCGGGGATTGTCGAGTTGTGTTGAATATCGAGACACTTGTTTTTAGTGCAGGATCCCGTGTGAGGGCATCTTTTGCTATCCCATACATGAGGAGATGTGTTTCGTGTCCAGTATAGGGATTTGATTTTGCAGGTGTAGCGAGTCTCGAGCCATTGCATACGTAAGAAAGCAATCTTGTTAGCGTCGTGTGAGAGCTGTAGGCAAGATTCTTGTGTGTATGGGCTGATGACTGTTTGGATGTTGGTATCTATGTGGCACTGTTCTTTAGAGCATTTGCTTGACTCTGAGTGCATGAAATTGATTTCTTGGCAACACTGACTGTATGAGATCATACAGAGTGTTAAGAGTGGTATGATACTAGTGTTTGGACGGCGTTTGGTTGTGATTTGGCTTGAACGTTTGGACCATTTGACGATCTTTGTGCAAGAGAAGCGTACTGTGTAGAAGATGGCGCTGAGCCATAATCTGATAGGTTTGCCTATAATCCAAGGAGTGTATAGGATCCCGTAACACGTGGCTGTGATTGCATAGACAAAGAGTGTGATTAGGATGATCGAGGTCCAAGGCCAGCAGGATGGGTTTAGCATGGCTTCCATGCAGAAAGTGCATGTTACTGTTTTGCAGAATGAGCCTGCGCGGCAATATTGCTGTAGCCGATGGATTTTTCCTTCCAGGAGGAATGTCCATGTTATGGCGTAATCAGTTATGATGTCCGCGGCGTTCAGGTGTATCTGGCCTGTGGATGTGAGTGTGGCGCAGTTGTGTGCTAAACAGAGTTGTTGGTCGGTAATGTTATCGCCTGCTGTTATGACTCCTGTTGGGCTGCATCTTATAGAGGGCAGTGTCATGTGAGCTGATACTGAAGGTATGCAGAGGAGAAGTAGGCACATTACGTAAACGAGAGAGCTGGTGTCGCCATAGAAACGTTTCGGTTGATTGCGTAATGAGTATGGTTCGTTTTCTTCTTTGTCACTGTCTTCGGCTAGTTCTTCTGCAGGATTGTGGGGAGTTCGTAGTTCATCGGGCATTTCGTCTTCTGGAATTTCAAGTGGATAGAGTAGGTTGACTGGTCGTTTGATCCGATGATTTCTTTCGGTTCGTAGTGTCGCCTCTCGTACCATTCCATCAGAGCCTTCATGGAGGGCTACGATGCGAGCCATGTTCCACTGGTGACGTGGGAGTAGTTTCTCGCTGATCAAGACTACTTGTCCGACACGGGGTCTTGTGACTGTTCCTGCTTTTTGACCAGAGATGCGGTGTTTGTGAGAAGCTCGGAGTTCTTTGAGGTAAAGTTCTCTCCATAGAGCCCAGCAGTTTGACGTACGATAGAAAGAGGCTTTTATGGCGTTTTCAGCCGCAGTACTCTTCATCGTCGTTGTCTGATTCGATTTCAAAGGTGACATTCAGATTTTTGTATATGAAGTCAGTTGGACGAAGTATTTCATGGAAGCCACTGTCGGTTGCTACGAAGGTTAGGGGTCGTGAGTTGATAGTGGCTTCGCATTCATGGAGTATGACTACGAGTTCTTCTCTTTTTGGGATGCCTTGGAGTGTTTTGTACATCGCTTGTTTTGTTGAACGGATTAGTCTCTCGTAGAATCCTCCTTGCCAGGGGGCGTATGGAGTGATTCTGTACCAAGTGATCCTTCTGCGAGCTAGAGCGTTATGAAGCTCGGTTTGGTCTTCGAGCCATATTATTTTATCGGATATTTTCTGTCCGAGCTCAAAGGTGGAGGCGTTATCGCTTGTTATGGTTTCTGGAAACCCGCGTCTGCTCCAAATGCTGCGTAGGCAGTTGATGAAGGATATTACTGTGAGGTCTGAGATGACTTCAAGGTGGATTAGTCGTGTGACAGTGCATGTATAGATGCAGCCGTAGACGTTACCTTGGTCGGTCGTCTTGAGTGGACCGAAGTAGTCTAATCCTACATGTTGGAATGGTTTGCATTGTGCGATGCGTCGACCTGGGAGTTGTCCTGATGGAGGGTACTCGAAAGGTCTGTTGTTGAATCTCTGACATTCTACGCATTGTCTGGTGATCGATGTTACTTGAGATCGTAACTGTGGGATCCAGAATCGCTGGCGTATGTCGGCCATAGTGTGAGCGACACTTTTGTGGTACTCGTCATGGGCTTTTGAGATTAATAGACGTGCTGTGGGGGTTTTCGGAAGTATGATGATTGGTGTTATTGCGTCTTCCGGAAGTTCGGCTTTTGACAGTCTTCCTTTGCTGACCCAGAGTTTACCCTTGAGTTCGGGTCTGAGATCTAAGCGTTGGGAAGCTGTAAGTCGGTCTAGTATGTCTGTTTGATGACGGATGAGGAGAGCTTGCTCAGCTTGTGCATAGAGTTTAGCTGTTGGTAGAGTGTCGATCGGATTATTCTCTGATATCCACAGGTCTAAAGCTTCGTCCCAGGTTTTACAGTTCTGTAACCATACTTCTTCGTAAGAGGTGTGCTTGGTTACGACGTTGACTTGTACTTCTGGTGGATCATCTGAAGGGCTTTCTGGTGTGATTAGAGTAGTAGAGTTAATCGCAGGAATGATTTCCAGAATTGGGTTCCACCAGATGTGTTTCTCAAGCGTTTCACCTGTGGCTCCGCGAGTGGCGATATCTGCCGGGTTATCTTTGGTGTTGATGTAGCCGAAGTATGGTGTGGCGCCTTGTTCGCGGATGAGGTCAGATTCTGCTAGTATCTGTTTGATGCGGTTGTATACGAATGTCCCAGTTGTTTTTCTTTCAGGTTTTGTTTTGATCCATGCTAATGCGATCTCGGAATCGGATAGAAAAACAACCTTTTTTATGCTAACACTGTTCCTTAGCTCGCGTAAGGTGTTGAGTGTGTTAGTGACACCTTTGCTTAAAGCTGAAAATTCCGCTTTGGGAATTGTGATGCTTGTGGAGCGTGAGTGTAGTTTGCTTTTCGCGAACAGTAGCGTGGCACTGGACTGATTTTCGGGAACAATGTATATCGCTATACCTACAGACGTGCTACTTGAGTCTGTGCAAGTAACTAGGAGGTATTCGTTGTTGGGTGAGGGTCGTATCGCTCGAGGTATGTTCTTAGATAAGGTTACCTGTCGTGCTAGATTTTCCCATTCATATGTTAGTTTGTCTGGCAGTGGAGTGTCCCAGTCAAGCATTTCGTCCCAGAGACGTTGCAGAAATAGTCTGAGTGGTAGTAGTAATGGACAAACCCATCCCATTGGGTCGTAGATGCTTGCGATAGCTTGTGATATACCTCGTTTGGTGTATTTAGCATCGGGAGCTTTTACTCTATAAGCCCAATGGTCTGTGCGTGTGTCCCATGTAATACCTAATACCTTGGGGGTATGTGAGGTATTGCGTTCTTCGTCAGATAGCATGTTTTTGAAACGAGTTGAGTTGGATGTGAACTCTCTTAGTTCCATGTTCATGTCTTGAAACATCTTTTTCGAGTCTTCTTGCCAGCCTAACAACTTGGGTTCGTCGTTAGTGGACAGTAGGACGTTATCCACGTAAAGATTTTGGTGGAGTAATGAGGCTAGTTCGTTGTCCTGTTGTTGGAAATGGTAATGCATGGTTGCCCCTAGTAGGAAGGGAGATGCATTTATTCCGAACGGAACTCTTGTGAACCGGTACGTGGTGATGTTATCTGGAGTGAGTGGCTTTGATATGTCTTTGAGCCAGAAGAACCTAGTCGCGTCTCTCTCGCTTTCTAGCAGTCTGATTTGAAGGAAGGCTTTTTTCACATCTGCTATGAATGCGTATTTGCCTGTTCGAAATCGAAGATGCATGCCTGTTAGGGAGGGTAGCATGAGAGGTCCTTGGTGTATGGTATCGTTCAGACTTGGCTTGTTCTGGTAGTGGCCAGAAGCGTCATAGACGATCCGTAGCTTAGTAGTGTCTTTCTGCGGAGTGACTACTGCTTGGTGCGCGATGTAATGAATGGTTCTGGCGTTTGGGTATGGAGTGGAGGCGTCTTCGATGACTCCTTTCTGCAGTTGGTCAGCTAGGATGCTGTGATATTCTTGTAAAAATGTCGGTTTCTTGGAGAGACTCATTACCAAGCTAACGAATCTTCGTTGTGCTAGTGAGATGTTGTCTGGTAGTTCTTTGATGTTGTCTTTCCAGGGAAAGGCTACGTAGTACCCATCGTCTCTAGTTTCGATTTGTTCGAGGAACTCGGCTCGAATTCTTTGGTCTCGTTGTTCTTTCTCGATTTTCTCTGTTCCGGAATAATCTTCGTGCTCTTCGACAAAGGATTTGTTCCATTTGGTAATCTTGATCGTTGAGTCTCCTGAGATTATAGAGAAATTGTTGCGAGTAAGTTCTGGTCTGGCTTTTCCCGTGAGGAAGTTGCCGATCTTGGTTTTGACAAGAGTATAGTTTTCAGAGATTTGCTGGATCTCTATGAGATTTTGCCACATAAGATCGGATCCTATGAGAATCTGAGGAGTGATTTTTGTGGACTGAGAAGAGGGATTTACACCTTCGATCAGTGTGTGTTGGAACTTGATCGTTTGGAGTGGACCAGTGAGGACTTTTCTTGTCCACAGTTTGGTCGAGATGGGATGTCCCTCGTTGTTGAGGAGAAGGGCTTCGATTTGCTTCATTTTTTCAATCGAGTTTGTGGCACCAAATGTTTTCAGCTTAATCTTCTTCTGAGAGAGGATTGGGAGTTGAAGTTGTTGAGCTAGTGCTTCTTCGATGAATGAAGTGTCGGATCCACAGTCGAGGACTGCTGGGACCTTTGTGATTTTCCCGCCGTAGGAGATGACTACGTCGCCAACTGGCAATAGAGCTGATTCGTATTGGTTGGTCGTAGTTTTTGTGGCAGAGAATTGTACCGTGAACTCCTCGGGGTTGTCTTCCAGGTTAATGATGTTAACTCGTCGTGTGGAAGTGTTTTTGCCCGGACAAATGATCTCGTGGTGTTTACCTTCACACTTGCTGCATTTGCGTGAGCTTCTACAGTCGTTAGTGGGATGGTTTTTCTTGAGGCATAGTCCGCATCTCTTCTCTTTGGCTAAAACATCGAGTTTGTTTTTGCGAGTGAGAGATGCTGTGCAGTTCCATGGCGCGTGAGACCCTTTACAGAGAAAGCACGAGGAGGTGCTTGAAACCGTGGGAGGTTTTCTGTTGGTTATGGTGCGGTCTGTGCTGCGCTCGTAAATGGTGGAACGTTTAGTTGGTGAAGGCCTGGTCGTGTCCATTCCAAAAACTGAGTTTTGGTTTCGTTCACGGAGGTAGCTTCGGACTGCGTTTGTGAATGCAGTTGCTGTTGGGGGGTTGTCCCCTCTGAAGTTTTTGTTAACTTCGTGGAGTATGTATGTTGGCGTCTTGTTCTCGATGGTGATTAGGTGGAGGATGGTCTCTCGTTCACCTGCTGCATTTGCTTGGCGGAGAATCCCTGCGACCTTGTCCATTGTGGTTAGGACATCGTTCTCCGTACTCGATGGAGTTTGGAGTTGCATGAGTTCTTTCATGAGGTGGCGCAGGATTTTGCCTTTTTTGTCATACATGTCGAGGAGGTGTTTAATTGCTAGCTCGTATGATTCATCGTCCGTGGGGAACGTTGAAAGCTGAGATGCTGCATCTCCGGTCATTGATTGACGGAGATAATTAAACTTCTCGATCGTGGGGAGTTGGCTCGAATGGATTAGTCTTCTGAACAGGTTCCAGAAGTTCTGCCACTCCTTGATGTTACCACCGAATTTCGGGATTTCGATGGGTTTGATAGTTGGTCGGATTCTGTGATCTTGCCCATAGTAGCCTGTGTAGGGATTTGGGTTGTAGGTTGGGAATCGTTCCCTGATCACCTCCGACTCTGGTCGTTGAGCACCGCTGTAGGATTGTTCGTCTCCTCTTACGGTGTCGCTCTGGACGTTCTCGTGTAGATCGACTGTTCCTCCGATTATGGGGATAACTGATGACGATTCTGACTGAGTTGGACTATTTCGCATGATGTTAGAGATTTGTTGGCGATTTGATGCCACGAGCTCGTCTAACGTCGAAATGTGTGTTTCCAATAGTGTCCTGTTTTCCCTTATGCGGGCTTCATCTTCAGAGTTGAGAGAGTGGGATATGTTCTCCATGTCTCTGTCGATTTGACGAAGCTGCGATGCGAGGGATTGCATTTGGGCTTCGGCCTCGCGTCTAGTTTCAACCATTTTATCTGTTCTTCCTTTTTGGATAGGGAATGAGATGTTGCGGTGGACTAGGTCTCGCCATCTTCGGATGTTCGTGTTGTAATCCGAGATGGAGGCTTGGCTTCGGCTATACCACTCTGATGCGCGAGTGGTTTCATCAGTGGCCGTATGCACCATGTTGTGCGGCCTATCTACGGTGTGTGGTGCGTTCGAGTGTGCACTACCGTGGGGTGGTTGCTCTGAGGTGGGCTCAGAGGCATTTGCAGTGCGTCTGGTTGGGATGCCAGAGCGCCCTGTGTTAGGAGCGGGAGAGGGTTCCCGGCTACCTTGGTTGGAATGCATAGTAAGGTGGTTCAGTGGAAATATGTTTATTGCACATGAAGTAAGAGAAGATAATCGCGGTATATATAGTGAAGAGTTGAAAGGTTATTACATCAAATGCATTAGGCTAAAAGGTTATTACACTTATAGTAGGCGTTAATTGTTAATGATACTTTACGAGATGGTGTGAAGA